TAATTGAATACAGTCTTTTGTAGAATTGCAAGTAGGCCTCCTCTAGATCCGCTTGCTGGATTTTTAGGTGGATGGTGACCAGCAGGGCAGAGCAGAAAGACACCTTTTTTCAGTGATGGCACTCAGTTTCTGGAATGGTTTTCCCCAGTATGGTAGAGAGGCAGAAAATATTTCTGTGATTCATGATTTCATGGGACAGGCTATGCCTTTCCTAATCTCCAGGGCTTTTAGTGGCTTTTTTTGAAGTTTATAGCAATCTGTGGTTTGTTGAGTATAATTTCAACTGTATAATTTTATTAACTGTATTAGTCCTGTCTGTGTAGTTTTGATTTTTTGTGCCGGTTTTGTTTAGACTGAACAACTAAACAACATCTTCTCTCTGGAAAAAGAAATGCAGCAGACACAGGCCTTGCCTGGAGGTCACTACAGTCCCCTTAGAGATCCACATAGTTTAAAAGCAGTTTGGAAGAATGTCTAAAGACAAATAAAAAACCTGCAGTAAGAAATGTAGTATCCTGTTTCATTTCAAAGCTTGAGGGCATTTCTCCCCAGAGGTCTTACTTCATGCTGGAATGTAGTAGAAGACACAAAACTAAAAATCCTGTGCCCTCTCAAAGACTAACAAGTATTATTGGGGCAGAACATTTTGTGGACTGGAGGCACAAGATAGCTGTTAAGTTGAACAAAGCTGCTTTTAACAGGGGAGAAAACTGGAAACAGAGACAACCAGTAGTTGGAATGACTTAAGTTCTTTCTGTAGTGGCCATCATGATTTTGTATTAATTCATCAGGCTGTCTCCCTATTCTCTTTTCAATAAGAGAGAGGGGCTTTTCTTTTTCTTATAATTCTTAGTGGTTATTCCTATTATCTAAAGTTATTTCCCACTTCAAGATAAAGGTTGTGAGCAAACATGGAGAATTTTACATATAAGCTTTCTAGAAAAAACACACACCCTCCAAACATATGCCACATGAAGCCCATCAGATGACAGTCAAAGGAGGTCTCTGCTCCCCACTTTCCGCCCATCTGCCTCTTAATTGCTGTCCTCAACTGCATCTTTAAGACAAAATAAAAAAAACTAGCTTGCTGACTATTTGAATGGTTCATTTGGAACCCTTAAGTATTTCGGATGCTTTTTCAACAAATATTTAAGCAACTTGTTTTCATGCCAGGTGTTGTGATAGCAGACAAATTGCAAAGTCCTTTCCAGGGTTTACACTATCAACACAAGCCTGACCACCAATCAGTTAACAAAAGTGTCTGATTACTTATCCCAGCCACAGTGTTGACAGTTAACACAAAACAATTGTTTGATAAAAGCAAAATCTTCCTCTCACAATACAGTACTGTATTTGCCAGCGTACAAGATGACTGGGTGTATAAGACAACCCCCCCAACATTTCCACTCAAAATATAGAGTGGACAGCTCTGCTGCAGCGCCAGCGCTGGGTGCCCGGGGCTCTGCCCAGGCCCGCCCTGGTTCATGGTCGGCGGCGAGAGGGTGAGGGGGAGGGGAAGCAGGTGGGCGGGCCTGAGGAGGGCGAAGAGGGGAAGCAGCTGGGCGGGTGGCGGCAGTGGAGGAGGGGAAGCGGCTCTCCAGTGGCGGGTGGGCAAGCGGGCAGCTGGCTCAGCGGCGAGGAGTGGAAGTGGCCGGGTGGGCCCGAGGAGGACTAGGAG